ATAGGCAATCACCCTATGGTCCTGTATCAACACTGCGTCGAGACCAACCCGTGACGCATCATAATATACAGTATAAGACCCTGAACCTAAAGGCAATACCAATACTGGGGCTGTAGCCAAAGCTATCTTGAGCTTTTGAAAGATTTCCTCACACTCCTTTATCCACCTGAATAGAGAATCCTTCTAGGTCAGCCTGATCATAGGTTCTACAATAGATGAGAATCCCTCAACAAATCAATGATAATACCCCGACAAATTAAGAAAACTCTAGATCTTCGTAGCTGAGGACGGTCTGGGCCAACTCTACACTGCTTCTACCTTCTTCGGATCCACCTTGATCCCCTCACTGGACACTACGTGGCCCAAAAAATGCCACGAAATCTAACGAGAGCTCACATTTTGAGAATTTTGAATATAATTTATTTTCTCCCAATGTCTGAAGCACAATCCTCAGGTGCTGCTCATGATCATCCCGACTCCGAGAGTACACCAGAATGTCGTCAATAAATGCAATGACGAATGAGTTAAGATAGGGTCGCAATACACTGCATCCAATGCATAAATGTTGCTAGGGCGTTGGTCATCCCAAATGACATCACAAGGAATTTGTAGTGACCATACCGAGTCCTGAAAATAGTGTTCAGGATATCTAGCTCCCAAATCTTCAACTGATGATAACCTGAATGTAAGTCAATCTTGGAAAACACTCTGACACCCTTCAACATATAAAATAAGTCATCAATACGAGGCAATGGATACATGTTCTCCACTGTAACTTTGTTCAACTGGCCATAATCAGTGCACATATGCATAGAACCATCCTTTTTCTTCACAAAAAAGACCAGAGCACCTCAAGGTGACATACTAGGCCGAATGAAACCCTTATCAAGCAATTCCTATAATTGTTCCTTCAACTCCTTCAACTTACGAGGAGCCATACGATATGGAGGAATAGAGATGGGATGAGTGCCCGACAACAAATCAATACCAAAGTCAATATCTCTGTCGGACGGCATGCCCGGAAGATCAGTTGGAAATACATCAGGGAAATCCCTCACTTGACTCAACTGTAGGGATATCAATACTGTCATCTCTCACATAATCTAGATACATGCCACACCCCTTCTCAACCATTCGTTGAGCTTTAAGAAATGAAATAACTCTGCTGGAAGTATAACCTAAGGTACCTCTCCACTTTAACCGCGGTAATCCTAGCACAACAAGCGTCACGGTCTTAGCATGACAATCTAGAATAGCATAATGGGAAGACAACTAGTCCATGCCGAAGATAATATCAAAATCTACCATGTTGAGCAATAATAAATCGGCTATGGTCTCAAAATCACTAATAACAACCAAACACGACCTATGCACACGATCAGCAACAATAGAATTTCCCACTGGTGTAGAAACATAAATAGGAGAACTCATAGAATCAAGGGATACACCTAAATATGGAGCAAAATAAGAGGACACATAGGAATAAGTGGAGCCTGGATCAAATAAAACCAACGCATCTCTATGACAGACTGAAACAATACATGCAATGACAGAGTCGGAAGCAACTGCCTCTGTACGAGAAGGAAGAGCATAATATCTGGCTTGGCCTCCCTCTCTAGGGTGACCTCTACCTCCCCGACCTCCACCTCGAGCAGGCTGAGTAGGTGGAGTGGTAGTTAATGTTGTAATTATAGCCTGAGGAACCGGTGGAGCACGTGGTGCCTGAGAAGTCTGTGGAGGTGCACCCCTCCTAAGTCTGGGGCAATCCCTCACTATATGGCGAGTGTGGCTACACTCAAAACAAGCTCTCGGAGGACGTGGCTGTTATGGTTGGCTCTGGCCAGGTCTGCTGGACTGACCGCTGAAAGCACCCCGTGCATAAGGTACACTAGATACTGGTGGTACATAATAAGGCTCTTCAGGGATAGGGGTAGCCAAAATACCATAGGCTGTAGGAAGTGCTAAATGAACAGTTCGACTCACACAACCCTTACCATGGAGAACTGCAGCTGGAGCACGACTACCACTATAATAGCCAGACTCTCGATACCTCTTGGCTTCTCTCTCCTGAGCAAGCATTCCCTGCACTCTCCTAGTCTTGTTCACAACCTGCTGGTACGAAATATCCATCTCCAACTCCCAGTCCATGCTAGTTTTGATACTGGGATGGAGCCCTCAATAAACCGATGGACCCTCTCTCGAACTGTAGCAACCAAGGCTAGTGCATGCCTAGCCAAATCATTGAAAATAACTGCATACTCTAACACAGTCATAGCACCCTAGCGCGGCTGCTCAAACTCAACCGCTATGCATCCATGAAGCTTTAAAGAATATACTCCCTCAAAAACATATCCGAGAACTGAGTCCAAGTAAGTGAAGCTGCTTCAGCCAGACTACCCAACTCATAAGCATGCCACCATTGATAGGCTGCTCCTCTAAGTTGGAACGCAGTGAAAGAAACCCCACTAAACTTTACTCTGCCCATAATACAAAGGATACAGTGGCACTCCTCAAGAAAACCATGGGCGTCCTTTGTTGCCAAACCACTGAAAATAGGAGGGTGGTACTTCTTGTACCTCTCGAGCGCATGCTGCTCCTCCTCAAAAACTGTTGCCCTACCCTCGGGCTAAACTAGGGCTACTGGTTGCACCAATATAACCTGTGGAATCTGATCCACCTGAACCCGCTGCTCTGGGGTGCATGCAGCAGAAGTTTGTCCTCCTCCCCCAGCCTGAGATGTGGCAGAAGCAAGGGAAATTAACCCTGCCTGATCCAGAGTACTGAACATGCTCAGGAATTGTGCATGGGTCTCCCAAAGAGCTGATGCAGTAGTAGGCATCTCAGATGCCTACGCTCCGACTGGAGCTGCTGGTGGCACTTCTCTAGTAGATCGTGCAGGTGCTCTGGCTACACCACGTGGATGTTCACAGCCTCTACCCCGGCCTCTGGCGTCTCTAGTAGGAGACGCGGGTGCCTGGTCATCCGATCGGGCTGTACGTGTCCTCATCATCTGTGAGAGAATAGAAGATAGAAATTTAGAATTTCAAAGCCAACAATTTTGCACGACAAGTAATCAAAAGAAGTGAAATTTGCCTAATAGTTCCATAGCCTCCTTAAGATAAGTACAAACGTCTTTGTACCGATCCACGAGACTCTACTAAACTAAACATGCTCAGTAATTGTGCATGGGTATCCCGAAGAGCTGGTGCAGTAGTTGGCATCTCAGATGCCTGCGTTCCGACTGGAGCTGCTGGTGGCTCCTCTCTGGCAGATCGTGCAGGTTCTCTGGCTACACTACATGGATGTCCTTAGCCTCTACCCCAGCCTCTGGCGGCTCTAGCAGGGGGCGTGTGTGCCTGATCTTCTGATCCGGCTGTACGTGTCCTCAATATCTGTGAGAGAATAGAAGACAGAAATTTAGAATTTCGAAGCCAACAATTTAACACGACAAGGAATCAAAAGAAGTGAAATCTGCCTAGCAGTTCCATAGCCTCCTGAATATAAGTACAAACGTATTTATACCGATCCACGAGACTCTATTAAACTTGGTTGTGACTCACAACACCTATGAACCTAGAGCTCTGATACCAACTTGTCACGACCCAATCCTACCTCCTTGAGATATCCTGACGGCACCTAGTCCCTACGAATAGATAAGCCTAACAATGTGGAATTACCCAAAATGAAAGCAAAACCTCAACAACTAATAGCAACAGATATTTAAGTAACTCGTAATAATGTCGCTCGGCATGTACAAAACCAACTCTGGAGTATACACAGAATTTCTCCAAGACCCAGACCATCATAAGTCACAAGCTTCAAAGAATTTGTCTAACAGCTCTATACATCAGCATCTGGAAGAAGTAAAGGAGGAACGACATCTTGAAGTCTCTGGAACAGCAGCAAGTATGCAATTAATAGCGGGGCTGGTAGGAGGTACATGTATCATACGAAACATGTGCAGAAGAGTAGCATGAGTACACCACAACGGTACTCAATAAGTGTCAAGCCTAGCATCGGTCGAGTAGTGACGAGGTCAGGTTAGGGCCCTACAGGTATATATAAATTAATTAGGCAGAATAAAAATATCACAGTGTAATAAGAGACTGAAATTTAACAAAGAGGAATTCACAGAAGAATATCAGTACACTACACAGGAATAACAGCAGGGGATCTCCTGAGATACCATCTCGTAGTTCCAAAAGTAAATGTGTAGGGGGATCTCCCGGGATGCCATTCTGTAGTCCCAAATTAAATATGCAAGGGGATCTCCCAGGATACTGTCCCGTAGTCCCAAAGTATATATGCAGGGGGTCTCCTGGAATACCGTTCCGTAGTCCCAAAGTAAATACATAGTCAAAATAATGAAAATAATCGTTACAGCAAGAAATTCTATAGTTTAGATTAAGTACAAGTCAAGGAAAAAGCAGGAAAATCCACTAACACTACAAAAAAATAGCGTTTATCGACGGCTGCATTCCATCTCTAAATCAATGTTTTATGTCGCTAAAGTTGTTTAGCGACGGAATAGCGATGGATTCAAGTTGGTCCCTAAAATTCTCGTTGCTAGGCTTATAGAAAAATACCAAACCGTCGCAGAATTAGAGACGAAGTAGCGACGACATATTTTTGTAGCAAAGGTCAGCGAGCGAAATATCCGTCGCTATATAGCTTGTTTCTGTCGCTATTTTGATGTCTTTCGTCGCTGCAATACATAATAAAATTCGTCGTTTGTTCTTATAGCGACGAAATTTTCCGTCGCTAGCCGTGTTATAGCTTATTGTCCCTGCTTTTTGCAACAAATACCTTTTGTCTCCAATTCATCGCAAGATTTAATTTTACGCGATAATTTATTTACGGAACGCATCCGTCGCTGATTTATTTTTACTATATTGCTGGTTTTATAAAAAAAAATTATTTATTATTTTAAATGTACTCTGTTCAAACATATACATAAACTATTAAATACACTTAATAAAAAGTCATGATATTAATATAAATTCAACAAGGTCCAAAATATATAGCATAATGCATATAACAGTATCATTAAGTACAAAAAATCCACAAGGACGAACAATAATGTCCAAACAAAGTAAGGTAACTATATTAGGCTGGAGAGTTACGGTCATCATCAGAACCCAATGCATGAACCTCATCAATATTAGCAGTAGAAGATGTTGGAACTATAGGTGCTATATTAGTATTTGGATGATGCGAGGGTAAGGAAACTAATTTGCGTACCCGCTCAACGATTACAGGAACTATATGATCTGTCAGTGCACGAATCAATCGCATCACTAACTCATCCAGATTCCCTATCGGTGTTTATTGAGAATTTGGACGTGTTGTTGACGATATAGCATCAGATCCAAGAGAGCCAAGAAGATTTGGCCCGTAGTAGCATTTTACTTGCGATCCAAGGCCATATACTCTTCTTTTCTTTTCTCCTCCGGCGGCTTGATAATATGCTTTATACTGATCAATATCAGATTGAGTTTGTGTTTGTTGTTGTAATATCTACTGATATTTTTCCTGTAGAAGAGTTAATAAGAACATTCAATTTACAAAATGAAAAAAATAAATGAAAGTAAAGTCAATTAAAAAGTTATCTTACATGTACGATTCAGGATTTCTCAGCAACAAAAGATTTTTCATCATTACCATGAGTATGGACGTGCAAATGCAACTCACTTGGTGTTGGATCTCGACCCTTTTTAACAGCCTATACAAAAATTATTCAATTAAGAAGATAGAGAAACAAAAGGGTATAGTTGTGCAATTAGGAACTAATGGCAGCAATAATACTCTAGGAACAATCCAGATTCTAGTCAGGAATTACAACTATATATGGAACTACATGGAGGACAAGTAACCAATAAAATTATTCCAGGTAGGACAAGTAACCAATGAAACTATATGTGGAACTACATGGCAACTGAAAACAAAATCAATAGAAATGTCTTACCCACATCACTGATTTGTATGTATTTGTATATTATTCACATACTAATATAATCTCAAAATACAACTATCTTTAATATTGATTCTGCTTCCTTTTCAATATACGGGACATGCTTATTGCAGCAATGGACACTTCAGCCACATTAGTAGAATGGATACTCACTGAGCTTCTAAGGAACCCTCAAGTAATGAAGAAATTACAAAGAGAGTGACCTTACTTAAACCGAAAATAAAGAACCAAACAAATAAACATCCTACCATGTTAAAAGTTGACTTTCTTGAGTGTTGCATCTCAAATGTATTCCATTTCCAAACATCCTATTCCAAATTATATTCCTACTACTGGGTATGTTCTTGTTGTTGTAACCAACTGCAGACATCTTTTAGTATTTCTTCACATAATGTTAGCATATTATCAGTATATTATGAACTGCTGATAGTCGAGAATTTTTTTTTTGTTCTGCCAGCACTCTCACAGTTACACTCTTACACTGATTCATGACATTGCCCCCATGCTCTCCTCCATGACACTGATTCAGGACACTTATTGAGAATAGGCAAAAGGAGGAAAGATGAATTATAATGGTAAAAGCAACTACTACATTAAAAAATCTATAAACCTTTTTGTTTCAAAAGACATGAAAAAGATCCTTTATACCGTCTTTTTTAGGTGATTTATACTATAATAACCATTTGAGCTACCAACAGCACCCATGAATCACAGCCTAGCAAAAGTTGAAACAAAATGCTCTTTGTTTTCTAGTAGTAATATAGTCTATTATTTATGTCTTCTGCAATTTGGTGGGCCAGCACTAAAGAGAGGCATCCAGGACTCGAGGAGCCAACTTAAGATGCCCTTATTGAAAGAATCCCTTTTTCCAATTTTCAGTTTATAGAGAGAATGAGGAAATGGACAGTCAATGAATTGCATATCCCACTTCCAAGGTATCATTTGGTTTATTTTGACGTACTTAAAACAAGTAGTAATAACCTATTTGAGACAAAGAAGAGTGCTAGTTGGAGAAGCCTCTATTCTCAAAGGGGCATGGCAGATTGCTAATTCTACTATCAATGAGAGGAAAAAGTTATAAATACACTTATAAGTCTCTTGGGATGCTCCCCAACACTGATAAAGCCATATGTATGAGTCCCAGTAGCAATTTTGCTCCCACCACAAAAAGTTTTTGCGTTTATTTCTGACTTTTCAACACACTTAGGATCTTTCCGAAGTCTCAACCAACTTTCCCACACATTATTTGGAATAGTGTCTGGTTGCACCATATTTGCTTTTAGTTTGCTAACAAAATCACTGTATCTTTTTGCTGCCCTACGCTCCCATTGGGTCTGCACCGCACTATCAATTGAAGAATCCCAGTAGAAAGCCTTCTGAAATAATTTTATAAAGTAATAACATTAATAAGTTGCATATATAAGTTAATATACTTTCAAAATCTAATTGTGATTGATTATACCTTGAATTCTCCAAAATAAAATTTTTTTAACTCATTTGAGATGTTTTTCCAGTTGAATCCATTAGGATCAAGTTCATTCTTCAAAGACTTAGTTATAAACTCAGAGCATTCATATAAAGGCTCTAACCTGAACAAATTAGAAGACATTATTTAAAGGAATACAATGTATCAATAACAATATACAAAAAGTAATAGTACAAGTATGGACTAACCCTGTAGGAGAAATAGTAATAAGTGTTCGCGGCCGGCGGGTATTGCTACACTCAGTTTCGCCTATTATGTTGCTTTGAGAAGATGTACCCTCGCCTATTGTGTTGCTCTGATTAGGGGTATTTGGAGATGGTTCCAAATTAATAGTTAGGGTACTACCATGGCCTGATGTTTGAATAGGTGGCATACTACTAGGACCTAATGTTTGAACTTAATTGATGTGATCCGGTCCACCTGAGGAACTCGTACCACTTTGTTGAGGATTGATTGTATGAATGAGAAAAGTATGCATATTTTCACGAGTAGCAAAATTACCCCTAACTGAAGATTTACCTACACGGCCTGCGCTACCTCGACCTCTACCTCGAGGCATATTTCCAATTGCTCCTTTTCTTGGCCTGCAATGGGATGCTCCAACATAACTTGAGCAGTATAGTCTCTGAAAATTCAAACAAGCAGAAGCTAAGTTACAAAAAATTCAAGCAAAAACCATTTATCCGACCAACTGATGTGAAAAACGTATGAGTAAGTAACATGTCGCATTGAGAAGCAGATGAATGATTAAGAGGTCCAAATTCACAATTTTGGCTATACATCAAGAGGATCTAGTTCTCCATCTCGATGTAGTTCGAAATGAGACTACTGAAGCTTTGTATAGCAGCATATTGAAAGTGAATCTCAATCTATCCCATAAATTCCATCAAAGGAGCAGTTGCATTTAAAACTCAGTTAGTATTTTAATTTTACAAGTTTGTCAGATTTCATAAATTAGATCCCTTGCTTTGTCAAGTGATAGTGTAACGTATCAACGCATAGAAGCTAAGTTAAACTCTTATATTTTAACTAACATAAGCTACCAAACTCCATTGCAGGCACCTGAAGAGATCAAGGGAATGATCAAGGAAACAATAACAAAAATGAGCATAGAATCTGGGAAAGAACTAAAAGAACTAGCACGTTCAATAAAAACAATGACTTCTCTCTTGTCGGCTAATAAACATGTCTCAAACGCCAAAACAGCAGTCAAGAACCTGAAATCACTTGTCATATCAGGTTTCTGGGAAGATATTAACTTACTAGAAGTCATACCAGTGGCTGCAGTTGCATCAATACTAACCGATATCGTCATTTGTGTCGAACAAATTGCTGATTCTATTAATAAGCTTGCTTCTTTAGCTCATTTTAGCAGCAAAGAAACAAAGGTAGATTCATTAAAAGAATCCAGTATTGAAGCAACACAAAGCAGAAAAATACATGCTTCTCAATATGTTGTTATTACTATTCAGTAAAATGACTAAGCCTTTCCTTGTCTAAAATATCACGTAATTTCATATAATGACAACCAGTTTAAACACATGAGCCAACGGAGGAAGTAACTCTCTGAATATATTGTTGAATTTGATAACTTCTTCAGATCAAAATACAACAATCTTGGCTCCAATTAATTTGAATTTAGATGGATTAATCAGGTAACACTATTAAGTTGATAATAAATATTATTCTACTGCTACAAAAAAGAGTCAGACTAATGTAAAAAGAGGCACAACACAACGTAAGCTAGAAGAGTACTATACCATTTAGATTAATACAAACGTGATATTCGATTCGATTCTCTATAGATTATACTACAAAATAGATACATGACTTATAACATACCACACAGATTACTATAAAAATAAAATTCAAAAAAAATATACTAGTGCATTATCAACACACTAGTCATCATCTGTTTCT